GGCTGGGGAGGATTAGGATCCTGGAAGGAGGGATCATCAATCAAGCTATCAGACAATCCGACACTCAGCACCTGAGAGTAAGACATGTGAAGAACTGTAAAAAGGCGGCTGTAAAATAAGACACCCCTGCGTTATGAACAGTGTAGCTATCGGTTGGGAGCGAAAGGCAAGAGTCGTGTATACTTTTCAGTGGCTGTGAAGATCAACTGACTTACATGGCAAGCGCCTTGCAAGCGCCTGAAGATATTTGCTACCGCTCGTTACAGGAAATTACATTCATCGACTCTGATGGAGTGAAAGGCATCGAACGAAGGAAAAGTACTTTCGGTTGCAAAGGAGCCGGGCTTTGGCCTGAAGGGGCTAACGCGATTATTTCTGATAAGATAAGATGATTGCTCTTGATGAAAATCAAAAAAAAAAAATACCACGTACATGAATACTGTATCCGAATCGATCCCTTCAATTCGACAGCAGAGGTGTACATTCGTTCATGCCATCATGCTGAGACTTTTGTCACCCGACCATGCAAGTACCGGCTACGTTCAAGTTCGGTTCTAACTTCTGTGCTTGATAATTGATTATCCGTACTACTATCCAGCACCATGGGTTCAACTTTCATCATCAGCAGAGAGGTCCGGGCAGGCAGATTGATCAACCTCACGAATCACTTCGCAAACATCCATGTGGTCTTCATCATATTTGCCTTACGCGAAGGGAGCGGACGGGCGTCTGATGTGTTGGTTTGTATTGTTTGACATATAAATACCGACGATATTTACACAATTGCGTAAACCGGACATCTTGCCGATAGTGCTCTGATTACCTTCCCAAATGCTGCTTGTATTTGATGACCATGTGGCTTTGTCTCTTCACCCTACTCTGCCTCTTGGAACCAGTACCACTCTTGAATTTCGACTCGGACCGAGATCGGCTGGAGGTGTTCTTGCCGATTGATGATATGGGTTTGTTCGGGAAGTATATATTTTGCGGCTCAGTCTCTGAGATCCACCATCATTTCTCGCAACATGTCGTCTGGACTACTCTCATATGCAATCTCTTCAGACGTCTTATCATCACCGCCATTCGTCGTCGTTCCGGGAGTGATCAACATTCGGGCTCTTCGCGGAACATCGGCAGAAGGAACTCAGATGCACATTAAACCTCTTCATGTCTTTCGTTCTGGTGAATTAACTCGAATCACTGACGTTGGACGGTCCAAGCTACAAGAACTCGGAGTTACCACCGTCTTCGACCTGAGATCAGACAGCGAAATCGCAGAATTCCACTCAGAAACACCCGACATTCCTGGCATTCGTTTTGTTCGTGCGCCGGCACTGACAGAGAATGCATGGAAGATAGACATCCCGGAGCTGCGAGTCCGAATTTTGTTTGCTTCTAAACTATGCTGACAGTCGAGGGGATAGGATTCAGCGTTATAAAGATAATGAGTTGAAGGTTAGCCTTGAGATCCGTCTGACATCTGGCAAAAGTCCTAATGGGGCGTCACAGGCTGACCTCAATGGCTATGACCGAATACTCCAGATGGCCGGGCCATCATATGGGCTTATCTTTTCTCACCTACGGGATCATCCATCGGAGCCATGTTTAGTCCATTGTACAGGTGCGATTACGCACAATGTCTCGTACTCGTCTTCCTGATTGCAATTCGACAGTCGGACGAGATCGAACTGGACTTTTTGTAGTACTTTTTTATATGGTATCGTCAAACCTTTCTTTGATATCACCTGTCCTCATTGTTCCACAGCTTATGGGAGTCAGTGATAGCGATATTGCACACGACTATTCTCTTTCAACTGCCGGGCTTGCCCCTTTCCTTCCTGTTCTGGAAGCACGTTTCCGTTCAATCCCAGTTTTTCGAGACAATTGGGAGGGATTCTCAAAGATGTTCAGCGCGAAGTTCGTCCTAGTCATCCTTAATCATATTGCTATTCAAACTGATTCATATTGTATTGAAGAGCCGAGACCATGGCTGCAGTTCTTTCCATGTTACGAGAGAAATTCGGAGGCGTTGAAGGTTATCTCAAGACTCATGCTGGGCTCACTGACGAAGACATGAAGACAATTCGAGCAAACATGCTCGTTTCAAGCTGAAAAAGCGCGGGAAACGAGATTGTAAACGGTCCATATACATTGCGTCTAGTATGCCAAGTCGAGCCCACGATAATCACAGACAATGGTGGTATATATGATACAGCAGGTATCAGTTGGCTTGCGATCTCTGAGATCACAAGTCATACTCAGCAATGTGTCTCATGATCATGAGCGAAGCAAGCATTTCTTCAAGTGAGGACGTCAACATATGCTGTTTTATATCGTAATTCAACAGAAGACTCGCCTGGAATAAGCTCGTGGTACGGTTGTTCGACAGTAAGCATGCACCCAGATGAATCAGCATACTCGGGCTCCCCAGGTGTCTTAAGGTTGTAGTAAGCTACAATATATCCGAGTGTATTAGTACACTGCAGGTCCATCAGAGTAACGTCAGGTCAACCGAGGCTTAACTGACCGTCCATTCCTGGTCTCCTTCGACTCGCCAGTTCCATCGATATTCGTGTCCATCAGATGCCACGAATTTCCGATGTTTCGTACTGGTCAGCACGTCAGTACCATGTACAATATATTGAACGTCGGGGAGACAATGAGTAGCACATGTTACTCACCTTCCTAATGTTGAGGCTTTTTTTAAATATTGTCTCATCGGCATGGAATCGTCAGGAGAAATGTGGACCGTCCCAAGAGCGTTGTTGGGCCCGAATGTAAGAGCAAGTAGAGGCCGAGAACTGCTGTCCACAGTCGTGGCATCGTAGATCATATAAACAGTCTGATTGGTATCCCGCGCTGTGCATATATAACTGAGGCGTATGCGATCGTTGAGGTCAACAAACTCGGACCCAGTAAGCATTCCGCTCTTGTCTTCAAGAAAGTAAGCCATGCCATAGTTTGTCATTTTGAGCAATAGGAAGACAAGGTGTGAAGACTCGGCATATGGATCCCCTGCTCATTTTTAATGATTGGGCAACCTTGACCTTTCCTATACAGGACTTGAAATTGCAAATCAGTCGCTATTCAAGATTGCGTTTCATGCTAGTCCGGCGGCCAATGATTCAACGTGGTGGAGAGTGCCCGGGACTATTGGGAGATGCTGAAACCATAGAATTTTTTCGGGAAGATACGTCGGCATCAGCGGCATACGGTTATGCCAGGATGTAGCTTGCTACATGGCAGTTAGAAGCTTCGGCCAATGCCTTGATAGATGTCAGCAGATCATTGGCTCCGAAAAGTCCTAGGCGTCATTGTTCACAGGAGAGACAGAAAGCCGATGTCGGAAGGTTTACAAGTAGCGTGCAAACCACAAAGAGGGAAAAAGTGAAACTATTATTGCGGAAATCAAGCATGAACTAATTTACCGACACCAAGCCACGTTGGTAGATACAAATAGCAGCTTGGTTCTTTGTGATTAATCAGTCATAAGGAATGAAACAGGGGACGCAGAACTCGCCGGCAGTCGTGCCTTATCGATTGCACCTGTCAATAGTCGATATAGAATGAATATGTAATGTGGGTCCATACGACTACCAAAATTGACGTCATACATACTGACTCACAACGCCTCTTGGGGTCGTGATGAGAATCCGTTTGAAGTAATCATCGAGATGTATCTGTCAAAGTTCTAGAGTAGGCTCTCATTTGTCCATGGAGAAAGAAGCCATCCATGGACAACGATGGATTGAGTTTCAAAACAGTGAGCAGCCTTACGAGGGGCAGATGAGATGCACACCTCTCGCGATCGTCAGGGTATGGAAGGAAACGGAAAAGGGATAAGTGGGACAGAATCGGAAGCAAACCACAAAATGAAGCCCATCCAACTGTTACCGTTCGTCACAAATTTACTTCTGTCAGACTGATTGATGACACTTGCTCCGGATGAATTACCAAGTCGAATAATAACTAAGGTGATCTGGTTTCCAGAGTAAAGAAATCACAGGTAATTAGAGCATATTATCAACGGGCCCCACCCGCCAAATGAACAAAAATTGATGACTCCACAACCAAATTTGGTTCGTCCTGAGGTGACACGGCAACCTTTTCCGTGGTGCATATGGTGCCATAAGGAAAATCAGATGTGATGTATGCTGACTGCCCGGGGAGATGAGTTCAATGTGTGGGATGCCATGATAAGAAACCAGTATGGTTCTGCGACAGATACTGACTTCTGACTTTCTGAAGAATCAAAGTCTTTTATGTTGGTGTACGGTACAACAGAAAAATAATAAGGCAGTTGAAAAAGATCGACTGTATCTGAAGATGACTTAGGATCACACTTCTATATTCACAAGTTCAAAATACAGGCCAACAAAATTTGGACCGCGTTTTAAGTTTTTTTACTCAATAGGGTACAAATATGCTCAAATCAATGTTCAATGTAAGAAAGGGACTATAGTACTGATGACACATGCATACATACTTTGTCAGAGCCTCAGCGGAGACGCAGACGAATGCAAACCTTGGAGGAGCTGATTAGGAAAGGATTGCCTTTTCCATTTTTATTAAGCTTCAACCTTCTAGAATGACGTGGCATGCTAACTTTTAGCAACGCAATTTTCTTATCCGAACATCTCAAATCATTTTAAGTCATGTCAGTCTAGTCATTTTGATTGAATGGAATTGTGTGGCCGCAACGTACAATGTAAACGCCTATCATGATTACTTACGGCAAGGAATAGATTACTTAGCGTTTATTTAAGCAGGATAAGCAAGATACTGATACATCGATGCAAATATGCATCATCGAGATCATTTCGGTAATTCTGTATTTGAGCGTCCATCCTCCTGGGTGTAGTGACCCAAAAGCAGTAAACTCTCTCGTTTCGACAAGTGTAGCTTGAACACCGCTTTCACCAAACAAAACAGGTCTCCTGCCAGTGTATGATATTGCATTCAAACTTTTCCATAAAAAAGCCTAACAAAGCGACAAAAATTGACCCCTACCCGATTTGAACGGATGACCTTGTGGATTTCCGACACTGGAATCACACACTCTACCAGCTGAGCTAAGGGGTCTTCAACATTATGAATGTCTGACCAATCTATCATCTGAATAATGGGGTCACATGGCAAGGTTGAGCTGATTACGTTATCTGCCTGCGGCTTCTTTGAACAGCATTCTTGGCTTGACCGCCTTCCGTCGTTGTCTGCAGCGAGGTGCTAGCTGCTTGACCGTCATGACCACCGTCTCCCCCTTCGCCCGTAGCAGTGCTTTCGAGGACACTCCGATCACGAATCGTGAACAAACCGTAAGCCCCCGTTTCCGTCTTATCTATCCCTTGAGCCTTCAACGCGAACAGATTCGTTCCAGATCGAAGAAATGTACAGTGTACCCGAAAGTTTCCTTGAAATTGAAGTGAGGAACCCTCAGACGCATGGTGAGCATCCAGTTGCCATTGTCCGATTTTGCTTGCTGATGGTATGTAGGTTTTGGGCGGAAGATGTACACCGATTATGAGGTCGTGTGCAAGGTTGGGTTAATCTTATCCTGGTTCTCTTGTTTTCTTTAACGCCGCATGTCCATAGACGAACATTCCTGCCTTCAAGCTACGTCATTCTCTCGTTCGCCGTCGTTACTCCGACTTTGAAGCATTTCGTGATATTCTTGAGCATGAGTCCACCCGCGTTAACATTCCGCCTCTTCCGGGAAAGGTTTTTACCAACCGCTTCTCGGATGAGGTCATTGAAAGCAGGCGTGAAGGCTTGGAGCGTTTCTTGAGCATTGTTGCGGGACATCCTTTGCTTCAAGTAAGTTCAGCTTTTTTTATATCGTTTGCCAATCTTTCATGAGATTTCCAGACTGGAAGCAAAGTTCTTTGTGCCTTCCTCCAAGATCCTGGCTGGGACAGGTCCCAATGGATATAAAGGGTCTGATACGATAGTCCATTGGCTGTTGCGGTGCATTCCTATGGTCTTTCCAAATTTTCATGCTACGGCGTTAGTTACTGGTGGTACCTCCACATCGCTATTACTTCGTTTTCTACGTCTTTTTATCTCTCAATTGTTCTCACCGTCTCTCTACGTGTATTCTCTATCGCTGAATCTCACTGTCTCTCTTCGTTCATTCCTTATCGCTGAATCTGTAATTAGAATGACTCTGCCTCAACGCGGCTTCCTCTTGTTTTCAAACCTGAAAGTAACAACATTTAATCTTTAAGCAACTCATTGAAAGTCCCTACTAGAGCAAACCATCTTCCCCTTTCCCATCGATCCTCGGCTTGGCACAGACGCGATTGCTTTTGTTCTCTACAACGGCGAAGTCGTGTGTTCCAACGTCCTGGCCGTCGAGCGTCGACTGTCCAGTGCCACTAGTCATATATGACTGACCGTGATCAAATTGTATTGTCGTATGGGGTTGAGCCATGGACAAAGTGTCACTATCCCAAGCGCGACCATGAGCAAGACGATAAAGAATCAGATAGCCTGCAATTTGCTATGCAGAGGTCAACAATGGACGGGGCGGCTGATATAGAAAGCGCATACCTGAGTAAAAGAAGCGACGGTTAGGAAGGCTGAATTCACTGGGGCATTGATTGCGTAAGTTATGAGGAATATCAAAGCAAAAATTGAATATAGAGATGCTGATTCGACGAGAATGGCAAGCAGCGAGACATAGTCTCTTGCGTGGTCCTTTGTTAGCGATTTCAAGATGCGTCTCCGGTAAAGTAAGAGACGGACAGAAATCAGAATGGTAATAATGATGTTGACGCTCAAGGAGATTGCATAGTATGACGTCCCGTAAGCCAGTGGCAAGGCACTGTAGAGAGAAAGACCAGGTTGGCTAGACTGAAGTGTCCATAACGTCCCCGTAACTTGAGATGTTGATGTTGGTTAAGTATTTACTCTTAGATCCTTTTAAGCGACTTACCGAAAGAGCCAAGAAGGAGCAATGCGGGAAAGGAGATTGCCAAACAGGCAGCATATTTTCCTGATGCTCTCCATATCACCCAACAACGCCAAAGCTATTCAAATTGCTCTGATCGATACGGTTTGTACAAAAGAGTAGATTGAACGAACTTACTACGAGAAGGTCAGAGAGAAATGTGATGGAAAAGAGTGATGCGATGAAGACCACGTTAATAGGTAAGTCCTGGGTGGCTAAAAAGTAAGCCCACGGGCCACCTGGATAATTGCGGTTGTCGACGTAGATCATCTGCACCGTATATGCTTGCGCGATTTCAAAGATAGTCTCGGTCAAGAGTAGAAGAGTCATATATGCCAGAAGAAAGGGAGACCACCGTCTCGAGTGCCTGGTCTTCCAAAGGTAAGAGGCGCACGAAGCGTAGAGGATGAGTTGGATGCCTAGCAAATCTGTTGGCCTTAAGGTCAACAACATGAAACGGATCTAGTTTACCGTATCCAACGCCAGAAAGAAAATCTCCAGCAACAAACATTCGCTCGAGAAGGATAGTGCTAGGATCTTCTTGAGGACCATAGTAAGGAGCCATATTATCGCTGATCTATACACTGGCACAGCACAGTGGTTTTGAAGCGAATTTGAGGCCCTTGATCGAATCCGGAACAAAGAAGCTGTTATCTATCGTATTATAACCGAACGTCGAGCGCTGATCATAGTGAGAAGCTTCAATCCATCGAAAGATACTTGTTCACTATATCAAGATGGTGACTGGAGCTATGGTGGTAAGTTGAGATCGTATGCCACCTTTCTGGGGAGAAGGACTGTCCATATTCGATCCCATCAAGAACCTTTCGGATTCCATCTGAGCTATCCGCATTGAATGAAATTGCTTATAGATGTTCTGGCCGGATAGTGAGAAAATCCTTCTGAAGATTTTATTCAACTCTCACCAATGAAAAAGTGGGTGACCTTACAAGAGATTTATCTCAAACTTCCTTTGTAGATTTAAATGGTCACCTGATATGTTCAGCTGAACTATCGTGATTGCGGAATTTGCCGATACAATCAGCGCATGGCCATTGTCCGTCGCTCTACGATGAACACATTGAATGATTGACCACGGTTCATAAGTGCAGAAAATCAAGAAACTAATGGGACCATGAGACTATGGAAAACATTTATCAAAAACTTGAAATAAACTTGCGGTGCTTGAATTATAATAATTCTAATTAAAGACTGGATATGCCATTTCCAAACGGGGTATCCTAAACCTTTTTCCATCGGAAATACTCCGTTTGGAAATTGCATAACAGGTTTCTTTTTCGGTGTTGCCTCAGGAAACACTATTGACTGCCAGCAGTGACAGTAGCATAAGGCATGCATGGTCATCATATCTGTAACAATAATATTGACATGATAATTAATTATATCCGTGGGACCGGGGGACAAAGACGTTCATTTGATGGGGATCAAATAAGACAGATCATTGAGTTCAATGATTGCCAGGTCAACTGATTGAAATCGGATCAGATCCATTTTGATTGATTTGATTTGATTTGATTTGCGCATAGTTTCCCATTAGAGCCCTATTTTACACATGACCTTAGTGTCCTAGGACCCGCAGTACGTAAGGGGGATGGTAATTACGGACACTCCAACTAGTTCTCCGGCCCGATCCCTTTTCAGCAGATGCCGGTTATGCCTCATAGCCACTTTACTACAATTTGACTTTGTTGGAGTTCTACTTTCCACCATTAAATCCCCACACCATCTGCCGTTAACGTGCCTTCCCAATTTCTAAACCCAGCTGTACTCGGCAGGGCTTACTGTGTGCGCACTGGTATTGTCCCATGCGAGGCGCTTGGCCAGCTCATAGCCTCCCACTCCCATGCACCAGTAAGGGCCTCATGACAAACCCTTCCCCATGCCCAGACACTACCTTTGGAAGATTGATCCCAAGATTTGGAACCCGCAACAGAATGGGCCAGTGGACCGCCAAGTGATGGCATGCCGCACCTTTCAGCTTGGCACCCGATCAAACTGGTAGTCACGGATATTTCACCTCACTGATCCCATCTGATGGACCACGCATTGCATTGGCAGCCTGATCATTGACTCCTATTCTCATGCCTACCCATGCCACAACATGCTTGGTCAGCAAAGACCTTAGCCCTCTTCCAAATCCGTTGCACTGGGGAAACTTTCTCTTTTTCTGATTGGTCATGAGCGTGGTGGTCACTGTGCCTCATTGAACCATGTGCTGACTGGTCAGTCCTGGTCAGCCTGCACTACAAAGCCTGCCTAATCAACATGTGCGGGCAGTGGCTTTCTGGCGGCGTTGAATAACCCACATGGTGTCTAAAGTGTTTTCCACACAGGCGCACTTAGCCAGAGTCAAAACCCCAACCTTGCACTCACAGATCATGTGACCCACTTTGGGATGCGATGGTGCCAGCTGAGCCACCGTGCCCTTTCCATTTTGATTGAATTATGCGAATATTCCCAATATTATTTGCTTGATATCTATGCAATCAGGAAATTGACACAGTTGCACGACGACTCTTTAAGAGCCATCAATAAACATCTTTTACCTCAGATCTTTCTCAAATTCATCACAACAGTGTTTATTCAATATTTGTCATTTTTATCAATTTTTGACTTTCTCTGTTACTTCGATTTAGACCAAATTTGAGTGAATTATATATCAAAGTGCTATATGATAGTTAGAACTCTCATTTTTTTTGATACAACATGGTGTGCCTCATGAACTTAGTCATTCTCTGTTAAAGAAAATCATATACATAGATCAGTCAAAGGAAGTGATGGTAGAAGAAAAAAATGTACTGGTCTGTTTCTTTTGAGCTATGGCCTGCTCTTTGAACACCTGTCAACCTGGTGATGTCATCAAATTTTCTTGAAACACTTGTCACATGGAAAATCAACCTACTTTTCTTTCTATATTCTGCAGAGAGATTGTCATAGTACATTTTGAAGTTGAATAACAGGCCACCTGGTTCTGTCAGGGGATGTCCCACTTGTTTCCCCTTCTCCTCCTCCAGTTCCTGTCAGATCCTCTCCACTATAGTTTTCCTTTATTCTCCTTCCCTTTCCCTATCTATTGGTCCTAGCTTTAGCCCTCAGGTTGCACTGGTTCTCT